ATAAACAACTACAACATTCTCAGTTTTTCCAATAAAAAACGTAATAAACAACGCGTGAAAAAAATACACAATTTTGATGATACACAATTAGCATTCACGTGAAAAAAATATAAAATATGAATAAAAACCACCATTAGCGTTCAATGGTATTAGACATATTATATTCACAATTTGAAATTTTATAGTTTTTTTTTTCTTTTTTATAAAAGTAAGATATAAAAGTACAACATAAATAACTACAACATTCTCAGTCTCTCCAATAAAAAACGTATTAGACATGTTATATTCACAATTTGAAATTTTATAGCTTTTTTAATAAAAATAAGATATAAAAGTGCAATATAAACAACTACAATATTCTCAGTTTTTCCAATAAAAAACGTAATAAACAGCGCGTGAAAAAAATACACAATTTTGATGATACACAATTAGCATTCACGTGAAAAAAATATAAAATATGAATAAAAATCACCATTAGCGTTCAATGGTATTAGACATATTATATTCACAATTTGAAATTTTATAGTTTTTTTTTTTCTTTTTTATAAAAGTAAGATATAAAAGTGCAACATAAATAACTACAACATTCTCAGTCTCTCCAATAAAAAACGTAATAAACAGCGCGTGAAAATAATACACAATTTTGATGATACACAATTAGCATTCACGTGAAAAAAATATACAATATGAATAAAAATCACCATTAGCGTTCAATGTAATTTTATTCCATATTATTTGTTGTTAAAACGATTAATATGCTTATAAGTATCATATCAACCCCACACAAAAAAAACACCATTGACGAACATACGAGTAATTAGTGAATCCATAGTAAGTGCCAAACAAAAAATAGATCAACTTTTCCGTCTTATCGAGGAAGTTGAACGAGCAAAGAGAGTTATGTTTCAACTTCGAGTGGTTCGCATGTTTGAGAGTAAATTNNNNTAATTCTTATCATAACATCATAGAAATTATTTTTCATAATATTGATGTATAATATTGTTTATTGTTTCTTTTATTTTATCACTTTCTTTTCGTTATTTTTTTGTGGAGACTTCTGACAAATGCTTCCATTCATTTCAAAGGGGAGTTGTTAGGATATTGTGAATGCAATTATTAATGCTTCCACCATTTGGAGGGATTGTATTGTGTTGCGACTTTCAAAAAACATGCGTCTTCAGAACATTTCTGATTCGGACGAGCGTGACAAGGTAGCAATGTTTACTGATTGGATTGTTAGCATTAGAGATGGGCCTGTAGGAGGATCAAACGATGGTTGTACCTACATTAACATTCTAGATGTTGCAAGACTGGAGCCCTTCGATGATCCAATTGCTACCATCGTGAAAAGTACATATCCAATGTTCAAGAATACAACTGACAATTCAAGATATTTGAATGATAGTGCTTTATTAGCGCCTACTTTGGAGGTCGTTAAGTCTATCAATTAATACATGTCGGAGATGAATTCTGACAAAGGTCGTATGTATTTGAGCTTTGACATTATGTGGAAGTCTCACTCGAATAATGACTTTTTTTTGTTTTGGGCAAAATTTCCACACTTCCTAGTTCTTGAATAGCATCAAGTTTTCAGGAACACCGAACCATGAATTGCATTCGAAAAATTGGAACTCCAATCATGTTATTAAGGAACGTGGACCATTCTATGGAATTGTGCAATGGAACACGCTTGGTTGTTACCAAGTTCTCTACTCATGTGCTTGAATGTAAGATATTGACTAGAGATCATGAATGTGAGAATGTGTTGATTCCTCGAATGAATATGATACCTTCCGATGTTAGGGTTCCATTTACGTTCCAGCGTTGGCAGTTCCCCTTATGATTTTGTATACAATGACCATAAACAAGAGTCAGGGTCGTATATTTTCTCATTTTGGCATGCTCTTAAAAAAATCGATATTTAGTCATGGCCAATTATACATTGTTGTTTTGTGTGTAACTAATATGAAGGGGTTGAAAGTATTAGTTTGTGAGGACGATGAGTTGCCCGACAATCAAACTAATAATGTTGTGTATAAGGAGGTTTTTAATAATGAATGACTTTTTCATGACAATTTTTTTATTACTTGACAAATGCTCTACGTATCCCCCCTATATATTAATCCAGAACGCGCTGAGCCTACGTGGCTGCTTCTGGTGCTTCGGAATCTTATGTGGCAAAATTACATGCTTCTTTATTAGGCTTGGGTAAATTTTAATTTAATTTCAAACAAAAAATAATTAGGTTCGGATTACCATAAATATGTTGATTATTTATAGTCATGTTACATGTATTAATTGCATTTTAATATCATTCCTTATTATAACTATTGAATTATATATATATATATATATATATATTAAAAGTTAATAACTTTTGTATTTTTTATCTGTTTTACATATGTATTCTATCAAATTAATCTTTTTTTGATGAACTTCGATTTAACACCCATATTGTATGTATAAAAAAAATAATTTATATTTATCTTTATAACAATAATAAATTATTTTTAATATTAAATTAGAAAAATAAATTATTTATCAACTAATATATTTATATTTCAAATAGTTATATGATATAAGTTATAAAAACTAATATTATATAACACATGTAAGTCATAAGTAACACATATCATTCTAGAATATATAGTAATATATTTTTTTTGTAAAACAATAAATTAAATTTAATATAGTTTTCTCATTAATTTTAAAATTTAAGAATATTTTTTTAACAAACACTCGTGTAGTACACGGGTGTTGTACTAGTTATAACTTATTGATTAATAACCTTTAATTTATAACCTTTACCAAAATAAATATTGTCCGTGCATCGCACGGGTTACGTACTAGTAGTATCAAAAGAATTTGCATATTTATTTTTTTTCTGATCAGAAAAATAATAAAATCTTGTGATTACCTTTAGTTTAGAAGACTCCAACTGCTTCTCATATTCTCTTGTTAGACGTTCGACCTCCGTACAAGCAATTCTCCTTTGCTCGTCCATAGTATGAGCAGCGGATGCTGCTTCAGCAGTTTCAGTTAGTTTTTCAGCAATTTCCTTTATTGTTGAATCTCTCGCTCGAATGTCCCTCGCCAAATTTTGCAGCTCATCATCTTTCACTCTCAGGGTTTCCTGCAACTCAGATAAGAACGTAATTCATCAGCTTTAGAAGGCAGCAAAGGTTAGAATGCCAAAACCAAAACAATCTTACCATAAAAATGACCATTGATCAATTTACATAAAATAAGGTATTGACAAGCGAGAACAGAGAATGAGATGCCATTGGTCCAAGCTAAGTAAAGAATGTATTTACACATAGAGAGAGAGAGAGAGAGAGAGAGAGAGAGAGACTAATAGACTAATAAATTATGTTAAAGGTACAGAATTTTCTTCACTGTCCATTTTGAAGAGTTAAAAATCGGCTTTGACACAGTTTTCACAATAATATAAGCAATGATTAATGAGTGTATGGCTTTGTATGTCACAATATCTTAGGTATAACCAAATGCATTCCTTATTTCACTCTTGAACAACATCAATTTGGAAAATAAGCAGCATGTACATTGTGCTGGAGAGAATAGAGAACGGGATATGAAAGAGGTGAGTTGGTGGTTCTTTTTTTGATAGGAGATAAAGGGAGTGACTGGAAGTTGTCATAACGGTACATCAGACTATGGCCCTCTTACCTTCATGATGGATAAATCATCCAAAGGAAATTCTGGTGTCTTAGTCAACATAGCTCCCAAGGCATTCCTCATAGAAATTTGCATTGCAGCTTCAATTTCTTTGGAAGCTTCCAAGGCTGTCGAATTGGCTGCAGCAACAACAGTGGCAACTGTTCCTAACTTCGTGGACCCAGTTCCACTTAAGGTGTTCACTGCTTCTTTATGAGCCTTCAGAACCAGTTGTGTGGCGCTGCATTATGAAGGGGAAACCAGAATTTGAATGGGAAAAGTGACTAAATAGTAGAAGTCCAAATATAAATATAAAAAACCTTGACAGATGCAACATGAACTTAACCTGAAATTTAAAGAAAGTGCATGAATTCTCATAGTGATAGATTTTACATTTGAATAGGTTATGTTTAGGATAAGCTAGTCAAAACAAGGAATAGCTAACCTCCGACTTTCACCTCACATTATTCCACAAAAAAGGCATTAACATTCATACATTCATATAGTTCGAGAGGTATAAAACAGAACAAAACATCTTGAAGAAAAATGGTGAAGCTGATAAACTGTGTAAATTATTGGTTATTCATGCGGTAGAAAGTTATAAAAGGTACACGTCTTTATCCATAATTTAAAACGAGAGAGTGCAAACAAAATATGGGCACTGTAGACAGCTATCACAAAATAAATAGCATGGGAATATACATCAAAACTGCGATTATATTACCAGAACAAGTGGTCTGGATCCAAAAAGCCATGCCGAGAATTCATATTAAAAGAAATGGAGAAACATGAAAAAATAAAACAAAACAAAATGGTTGAAGATAAAATAAATGTCAAAAGAGGACATTAGCAGCCATGATGTAGGGACCGGAAAGAATCCACAAAAGGACAGACAAAAAAAAGAAGAAGAAGAAGAAACAAGGTGAGTTTATTTCATCTTATCGGTAATTTAAGCAAATCATATGGAACGAGTGACAAAAATGACCACTCACTGTAGAGTAGATACCCAAGCTTTAGCAGCAACAGGAGTCTCTGCACAAAGGAAATAATCTTTTCTCTGTGGTGTCCCAATATCTAAGAATCAGGCTAAGAATTCAAAATCTAAATATGAGAAATTAATAACAAAATGATAATGAAATTTACAAAAGTGACATGAATGCATTCAGAATGTCCATATCCTAACTCCAGTCTACCAAAAAAATAATATAAAACATAATACAATATATACATATATATATTAGACACATATTGAAAAAAAAAAATGAGCAACAAAGGTGGATACAGAAACAACAGCCATGGTACTTGGGCAGCCCCCTTAATCAAGCAAAAAAAGAAAAAAGGATGAGAGCATGATTATTAACTTACAGAGATCAACATATCTAATCAGATCAAAAAGGATAATATTGCCATAAGATCAAACTTTTCACAAGTCTTACTGAAAATTCACAGGGGAAATTGTTATGGTGCTGTTTGCATCAAATACCATGGTTCCTTTGACTGTCGGTTCATTTCTCCTGATCCTATAGATGCAAACCAATTAAACACATAGGTAATACAAACGTGTGTTGACCAATGAATAACATAAACGGGAGACTGTATTCAGCTTCTTACTTGTACTCCATTTTCCCAGTTGTTGGGTCCAAAATTACCCATCTCTCGTTCCACTTTCTCAGCTGTTCAGAATAAAAAGGCAGAGAAACTCACTTATTCTGATAAAAAAAGTTACCTAAAGTTGCCAATATACAAGTATCAACAAATAGGAAAAGTTTCAATAAATAAAAGCTATCAAGAGTTGAATAAACATGCACTTTCTCTCTACAAAAACCATAGCAACGATTACCTTAGGGCAACTCTTGTCAAAATACATGTTACATACATGAATATACATGATGAAGCAGCTGAATTCTGTTTTACCATTTGGTGAAATAGAAAGTTGCTCGAATAATTTCGGCAAGCTACATGATGACCATATAGAACAACAAAGCCAAACCACGTGGATCAGACACCCAGCTCCTTCTGCCTAAGTGCTGGAAAACAATTGGCCAATAAGGCGAAAACCACCATCAATGAAAACGACACAGTATAAATCAAACATGAATTTCCACCCAAAAAACTAAAAGACTAAATCCCATTTCCGAGTATCTTATTAAAATCAGTAGTTTAAAAAATAAACACACGAGCTCGATAAATGAACAGGTGAAAATCAAATAGGAACTAAAATGCAACTCAGTGTAACAAAAATGGTAAACGAACACCAGGAGCATGGAATAATAACCGTCTCGGATCGCTTGAGGAGAGGCCAAAATTTCTACCGGAGCTCGATGCCAGCTGCCTCTTGATCTTCTCCAAGCTCGTTTTTGTATCGGCGTCTCCCTGCACAACCCAAACCCCGAAATCCAAACAATTATCCACATAAAACACAAAGAACAGAACAGAGGGGATTAAACACTGACAAGTGAAACTCCGTTGGACGCCATGATGAGCACGAGCGGGAAGTATTGGTGGGAAAATTGAAGCGTGATCGCGAGTTAACTCAGTGAGGGTTTTTGGGGGAAGAAGTGAAAATATGGATTTAAGAAATATATTTTCTATGTGCTTTGGTAGGAAATAATGTTAATAGTACAACACGTTTATTACACGGGTGCTAGCTATTTTTTTTCTTTTTTAAATTTAAAATTAATGAGAGAAAAATGGTTGAAAATTTAAACATTTTTTATAAAAATATACATTACTATATATTTTAGTATGATACTTGTTAGTTGTGTGATTTACATGTGTTATATTATAATAATTTTTCTAATTTATATAACTACATTAAACATAAATATATTCATTAAAAAATAATTTTATTTTCCTAACTAATTTTAATAAATAATTTATTATTATTATAAATTTATGTATAATTTATTTATACATACAATATAAATGTCAAATTGAAGCTCATCAAAAAATAATTTATGTGATATATTATATATATATATCTAAAACGAATAAGAAATACAAAAGTTATCAACTATTAAAATATATTTACAACTCAATGGTAATAATAGAAAATGATATTAAAATAAATTAATATATCTAAAATGATCATAAATAAATCAACATATTTATGGTAATTCGGACCTAATTAGTTTTGGATTTTTTAAATTAAAATAAAATTTATCCAAGCCAAACAATGAAGGTGGAATCTTGACACATAGGATCTCGAAACATGCGAGTCTGCCACTTAGGCTCAACACATTCGGGAATTATATATAAGAGGTATGTACTATTTTCTATGTTAACGAATCGAGTTCGACCCTTTCATTAGCTGGAGCACTATGAGCTCAAACTCAACAAGCCTAATTTTGAATACATAAATATATGGAATTGTAAATTTTGTATTAGCACAATAAATAACACCAAATATTAGACTGGAGCACTATGGAATTTTTTACCATAAAATTTAAAAAAAAAAATTAAGTTGTGGAAAAAAAATACACAAACAAATGTCAGTAGACCAAAATAAAAACTCCGTATTCAGCAGTGTTCTAAAAGTCGCTAGACGTCCGCTAGGTGCCCGACCAGCGCCTAGCGCCTAGAGCGCCTAGTCGGGGCCTAAGCGGGGCATAGAAATTATAATAAATATATTATTTTTTATTTATTTTTATAATTTCACTAATGAAATTATAACTTATAATTAATAAATTCATACACCTAAGTCTCAATAATATTATTAATATTATATTATAAAAAAAACTTCAAGTCAAAATAATTACATAACCGCAATATAACTTCTTCTCATTGTAATTTTATCAAACACATTATCTACATGTTATGTTTTAAATATTACACAACATAAGATAAATATAAAAATTATAAAATAATAAATTATAAGATTTATTATTTAAACTAAATGCATCTAGTAAAAAAAAAAAAAATATTGTAAAAACCGCCTAGAACCCGCCTCGGCAGCCTAGAACCCGCCTCAGGCGCCTAGTCCCGCCGAAACCGCGTAGCCGTCGAGGCCACCTAGCTCCGCCTAGGCCCGCTTAGGCGCCGCCGAGCCTGCCCGGCCGATTTATGGCCGATTTGGCCAAATCGTATGCGTTGTACCGGCGCCTAGCGCCTAGGCGGTGCCTAGGCGGCCGCCTAGGCCGACTTTTCGAACACTGGTATTCAGTGAATACGTTTTACCATTTTTTAATTGTAAAACGTATTCACTGAATATGTTTTTTTTTTTTGTAAAAAAATCTGAAAAAACGTATTTAGTGAATACGTTTTCTATACAAATTGTATAGAAAACGTATTCCTTAAATACATGCTTTCTATTGTTGTCCACTCCCCTTTTTTTTTTGTCCACATATTTTTTTATTTTATTTTTAATATATAAATTACTCGAGCACTATGAGCTCAAACTCAACAAGTCTAATTTTGAATACATGAATATATGGAGTAATTAATTTTTGTATAGCGAAATAAATAGCACCAAATACTAGATTGTTTTAGGTTGATGGTAGTGTGATGTCGTGGATTACCAAACAACATGTGAACAAACTCACGCTCTTAAAACCGACCTTAAGGACT